ACTGGCTGGCGTGGCGAGCTGAGAACTCTCGGAGAAGGAACTTCCAACCAATGAGGGCGTGGCACGGGAGCGCCCCAGACGCCAGACCGAGGCGTGGCCCTTGAGCTGCAGGATCCTGGGTAGATCTTGTCTCTGAGCTCATCTGTCCCTAGATGGACCGGGTAAAGCCACTGCGTCTACTTAAGAATGACATAAGGAAAAGAGGAAGAAAAGGGAACATTTCTATAAAAGAGTTACTTTGCGGGGATTTAGCTCAGTGGTGCTGCCGCCTGCTTTCCAAACACAAGGTCCTGAGAAGGATTCCCGGTACTAAAAGAGCTATTTTCTCATATCAAGGGCAGGGATCTAATTTGAGTGGGTATAGTAGGGGAGGATAACTACTCATTTTAGCTCAAGGTCTGCACAAAACAGTAACCCAAATTATGCTCTTTTTATTAGAACCTAATAATTTGGAAGAATGGCTTACTGTTTAGTGCTTCTAAAACACATTTCCAAACCCAGGTTTGGTGGCCAGCACTGCAATCCTGAGAGAGGCGATCACCCCTCCCTATGTAATTGGACAAATGTGAGTTTACTGTGTTGTTAGGCAATATGGGTTAAATACGTACCTATGCTCTTTGTAGAATGTACCTGAGTAGCCATGACAATTTCTGTAATCCGTCCCCAAAGGAGCGTAAGGGACTCAGGGAGTCCTGCCTGAGCTCTTTGCTCAATTCCACGGCTCTGCTTTGTGTAGATCCTGCTTCCTGTATTCCCAGGGAAATTCCAGTGGAATTAAGCTTTGTAGATGTAAAAAGCGGTATGTAAGGAAGGGCAAACTTCTACTGGGGCTCTGGAGACACAGAAGTCACTCGCTGAGCCGCAGGCATCATGAAAAGCAGCTTTTTGCTCCTATCTTCCTGTTAAAGAGTTATCTGTCCAGGGTCTTCACTATTTCCTGCTTGAATCCCAACACTCTAGAAGCTATATAGTGAGTTCACAACCAGCTTGGATTACAATGGGAGACTTTGTCTCAAAAAGCGAAAGTCAAAATGAATAACTAAAACCCACATTCCCAGATCCCATCCCAGACCTATCGAATTCCAAATATATGCTTCTGTGGACACTGCTTAATAAATATTCTTTCATGGTTCTTGAGACCCGAAAATTTGTGCAAAAACTTATGTTATATTGTCCTTGCCTTGGAAGTAGAATCTTTTCAAAAGAAGAGATGGGACTACCATCAAATTATTTACCAGGCCTATGTAAAAAACATCCTTTGGCTGCCTCCTACCCTCACTGTCTCTTCAGCACAGGGCAGCATCTCTTCAAACTGTGGGATAAATTTAGTGGTAAATCATTTTCCCCTCACAAATTAAGAACTTGGTTGCAAATTTCAGCTCTTCAAGGGTATGGCTTTCTTGTAAAGGTTTGACATTTTAGGGATTTTAAATGCCTGTAAACCTAGCCTCTATAAATGTACACCACGTGTCTGTGGAACCACAGAACTTTTTCTTGAAAAGCTTGAGAAGCAAGACCTGGCTCAAATCAAAAATGGCTAAGGGAGTGACTAAAAGGCTGGCAAGTTGTCACATAATACTATCATCATGTTTTCTGGGTCAGGGGACCTTGTGTAATACTAAGGAGCTGTGATGGGAACTCCAAAGAGACATTTAATTATAACACGTGGTAGCTGGCACACAGTAACTAATGTTCTCTTCGTTCGATAAGCTTTTGTTTTCTTCTTCCTCCAAATGGTGAGAGACAGGTAGACCCACGTAATAAAAAATACAAACAGAGCTCACACGACAGATTCTGTTTTCCCAATCTACAAAGGGTGCCTTGGGACGTGCTGGAAGCCCAACCACAGTCCTTGATCCTGACTTTCAGGTTCTGCCTGCCCAGAATTTGAAAACTGAACTTGAAGTTACACATTCTGTTTCTTTCATAGGCTTACTTTCTTGCAGATTTTAACTTAAATCTATTTCGCACCACAACTCACAGTAGGCTACATTAATGACATCTACCTCACATTAGAGAAAAGCTCTAATAAAATCTCTGTGATCACCAGAGAAAACCATCCAGCGTCTGTAAGATATTTTTCATGGTAAAACTGACAATATCTGCCAGTAGTTTTAAATTTTACAGTTTTTCAGACATTTTCACAGGTGTTCTCACTTCAGTCTTCACAAGAAATGTAGCAGTCTATCCACAAAAGAAGAAAATCAGGTTAGGGGTTCAATTCTCAGAGCTTGTTGGCTCCAGGCAGAAAATGGCTACATTCCAGGTTTCTCACACTTTAGTCCAGGGCAATTTACATTACAAATAGCTGGCTGTTTTTACTTTTCTCTTTGCAGAGACAAAATAGTAGCCCAAGGACCCGAGTTCGATCCTGCCTCACGAGCGCATGGTCCTGAGTTCGATCCCTGGTACAAAAAAAAAAAGTCACAGGAGGAAAGGTTTACTTGGCTCCCAGTTTGCACGGGTGTCAGTCCATAGTTGGCTGGCTCTAAGGCAGGGTGGCAGGCAGAGGGGTAGCTCAGAGCAGAATCAGTTCATGGCAGGCAGAAAGCATAGCAATTAAGTCATAAAGAAGTAGCAAGGGATGACAGAGGCCCTCTTGCTGTCCCTTAAATTCCATCCAGCCTACTCACCTTTACAGCAAGTAGCATTCATGCCCAGGGTGGGACATCCTTAATCCCAGAATTACATCCTTTATACCAGCATCACACACCCTAGATCCAGCCCTCTGAAAAGGCCCATCTATGACCGCAGTGAGGCTTTAGGGGGGACATCTAGACACAAGTCACAACCCTAGCCCTCAAGCAAAGAAAGACCAATCCTCCAGACCCCAAGTCACCACTGGGTAATAATGTTGACATTACTCCCCTAAAAGGTACAGCTTTGATTTAGGGCCGGGTTGATAAAGTATTCCCTCTTGAACTAAATTTAACTCAAAGAAAATGAATTATTTGGCCAGACATGTAGCTCAGTGGTGCTGTACCTGCCTGGCAAGCGCAAAGTCCTGAGTTCAATCCCCAGTACCACTAAAAAAAAACAACCAAAAACCCAAAGATGGATTATTTTGTAATCATCCCTTTAGACTAGGACAAATAAATGTAGCTGATAAAATTGATGTAACTCATATCTGATTCAAAACCTTCATCTTTAAAAGGCCTGGAGAAAAAAAAAAAAGGAACTCACTAGGAATAATTTGATTTGTGATAGATTTTCCAAGCCATAACTTTACAGGATCATCAGGAGACTATACAAAAGTAAAATATAACAGGGGTTTACAGACTGGGACTGCAGATTCCCAATGGTTAATCATAAAAATGCTTTGTATCTCTGCCTTCGTTTTTTGTTTCCTTTATTTCCTTAAAATTTTGGGTCAGATCTCTGCTCAGCTTTGTAGGGAGAGGGGCAAATGGGCAGGGAAATAATAGGATGAAGGCCTCAGTAAGCTTTCTGGCAAATCCTGACTAGAAAAAGTTAAAACTCTTGCTCAAGGGAGCAATTAAGAAAAGTAAGAGAGCTCATAGCTGCCAGGGTCCCAGCTAAAGCTATTTGTTCCTCCCTATGTACAGTAAAGTACAAAGGAGACAAAAGCGGGAAAGGCTACATAACAGAAAACTCAGAATATAAATATATACTCATACCTGGAGATACTCTTTCTGTATGTTTCCCTTAAATGCTAATTTGACCTCATATGTAACAAACCCATAAATTTCAGAGAGAGGGCCTGACAGGACAAAGGAAGCTAAATAGAGCTCACTTAAAAATGTCCATGTAGACCATAAGCGATAGTGCAGAGAGTTGGAGCCTGGGATCCATCTGTGACAGCCCAAGGAACCAATCAGACTATGACAGGTTCCAGGTAAAGAGAAGGCCTCTTAACCCCTATAAAAGCAGCCAGGAACAAAAGGCCCTGGAGTGCTCCATCTTTCTGGAGCCTCTCCCTTGATTTACCGTAGTAGTTATCTCCTGCTTTTCCCCACTTTTCCAATAAAGTCCCCAATAAATGTCTTCCTTTCCTTAAATTTTGTATCTTTCATACTTTAGATAGGGAGTTTATGAATCCCATTGAGCTGCCTGCCTACAGCAGGGCAGTGATACTCTTCCCCCAATTTGACAGCTGTGTATGTAGGCATGACTTAAATGTTTAAAAACTAGTAATAGCAGCCGGGCGTGGTGGTGCATGCCTGTAATTCCAGCACTCAGGAGGCTGAGGCAGGAGGATTGCTGTTAAGTTCGAGACCAGCTTGGGCTACATAGTGAGTTCCAAGTCAGTCTCAATTACATAGTGAGATCTTGTCACAAAAAACCAAAACCAAAACCAAACAAAACAAACAAAAAACTAGTAATATAAGGTTTATTCTAATTTTACCTAGCCCATTTCTCCTCCCCGCCCCCTCCTTTTTCTCTTCCTCTTTTTTTTTTGTGTACCAGGAATGAAACTTGGGACCTTGTGCTTGTGAGACAGGCAGCAGCACCACTGAGCTACATCCCCAGCCATTACCCAGCCTATTTCATTCCCCTTCAAGACTGAGGGCACCAACATAAAAGTAACTACAGTAATTTTCACTTTTTGCAGGGTCACCAAATTGCCACCTTTTATAGTTCTAGACCCTACGGAGAGATACCTGAGTCTCTACTC